AAGGTTACTTAGCCACTTGTCATTCCCACACTATGACTAACTTTTTCCAGCAGACTCTGCCCTTTCAAATGATATATTATTTTGGTCTAAGGATGAAGGGACACTCAACTCCTTGAATAAGGTACTTTTTGTGGATTTGTCGCTCATCTACACGCAGAATGATAAATCAATCAATCATTTTCAAAGGAAAAAAAAAACATATGTTCACATTCTCGCTTTCGCATAACACAGATACGATTTTGACCAAAATATATTGCATGCTTCCTATTTTTCATCATGTTCTCTTCGTAATAATGACATGGATTTGACATTGGTGAATTTGATAATTAGTATAAAAAATAATGCAATATATATACATTGGATAACAATTCCTTCAATACGGAACATGTTGGGCATTTCTGTAAAATTCAATAATGCTCATTATATTACAGGCCCGTAGCGGGGGGTGGGGGTAGAGGGGGGGGGGGTCGGGGTGTTCGAAAGAACCTCCTCTTTTTGCTGGGAAAGGCCCCCTCTGGATAAAATTTTATCTAGGTACATGAAGGTTTCATGATAAAAGGTCCACTTTTTTCAGAAATGAACTCCACTTTTGAAATTGCTGGCTACGGGACTGATATTAATACAACAATCATTTACCTTCAATATTAAAACCGTTGACGTAGTTTGGACACCGTTGCTCGCTGGTGGTGCCCGCAGGGGTGTCCGGCCAGCACATCACTCCATCCCACGTCCTGTTACAATATGATCCTGGGGAACGGGAAAAATATAATAGTAATGAAGTAGGCATGACACAGTTACCTGTAGCATCTATATGCATCTCTCTTTCTCATCTTCTCTCTCCCTCAAAGCCCATCATATACTCTCTCCCCCTATCCCTTCTCACCACTCTCTCTCTCTCTCTCTCTCTCTCTCTCTCTCCATCCCATGTTCTCTCTCTATCTCTCTCTTTCCGCCCTTTCTCCTCCTCTCTCTCTCTCTCTTTCTCCGTCTCTTTCTCTCTCTCTCTATTCATCCCATGTTCTCTCTGTATCTCTCTCCTCTTGCCCATTCTCTCTCTCTCTTTCTCTCTTTCTCTCCTAATACTTAATACCCCTATTTACCATATTGGTAAGCATAATATATACACACTGATGGATCGTTAACAATCTACCAATATCCCATGACAAATGTCAAGTACTGTTAATCTTAATTGTAAAATTACGTTTGGTAAGTTACCATTAAGCAAAACATATCAAAATTCAAGTCAAGTCATATCAATGAACTAGTGCCCGGAAGAGATCCAATTTATAAAGATGATGAATTTTACACAATTGACATAACAGTCTGGGGATATCAATTGTAATTACTCAACCGTTTCTGTTGCTATTGTTAAAACTCTTATGGACAAGACGAATTCACGGCACGCGCAATATGACCTACAGGTCATAAAACAAATTACTTTGACTGAGAGAGCGTTTATGGCACAATTAACGGGCGCATTTCAAATCAACTTGAGAAGGTTTAACTTAGGACATTACGTGCATCTAAGCAGGTCGTTTGGTTTATATTTCTAAACACTGGTAGTCAACCTAATCATCCGGTTGTCAAGCGCAGGAGTCCCTTTCACATCAGAGCTATATTCCAGAATCTTTTTAACTAAGAATAAAGATTATATAATACTCCAGAACTCAGGGGATGGGAAGTCTGTGGTGACTGGTAGGTCCTTGTTATCTATATTATACAAGGAGTATTTATATCTATTTAACTTATTCGCCTTCTTCTCACTCCTCGATTTCTTATTCTGATAGGTAATTGGTCGACCTTTCCCCTTTACATGATATGACAACAATATGCAGTGAATAACAAAACAAATCATCTTATTTTGATATGATTAAATTGACACTCTCATAAGCCATGTACTCGGTATAATCCCAAAAAAAATTAATGCAATTATTGACAAGAAACAGTAGCGTAGCCTTAACGCGTCGCGTCCCTACTAATATCAATTATAGAGGCATTTAAACGTATAAAGAACAATTAGCACACAAATGCTCATTATTGATCTTACTAAAATCATTATGTTCGTGTTAACCTTTTCTCACTGGAGATACACCAGGATTCAGAATAATCCAACTCTTACCATAAAAAATACATAATAATTTATATTTAATGCAGTGCAGAGCGATCATATCGACTGTCAGACATCTGAATCTATTGTGCATTGGTCTTCTTTCAACTTAATCCTGAAACACCTTTACCTGTCTTATAATAACTGCAGCCTATGTCGGTAACACTCCTTAAGGTCGATTTTCATATTTATCTACATCACTCACTTTTCATATAAAATGCTAGTCCTCACGCCGTCAGTAGGAGTAGTACATGTAGTAGTAGAAATAGCAGTTTGAGGGCGATTCCAATTGAAGTTATCGATCTACATAGATCGATCCAACTCCACGGGGACTCTTGCTGAATGCACATAGATTAACAGATTTACATGCCTCCTCTTGTTTCCGACGTTTAATCGCATAATCGTGTAATCACCAGTTTTTCTGTATTCTACCCAACATAATGGAAACGAACCCTTACTGCAGGGAAGATTAAAGGTACAATTTGCAAGCATTAAGGGGATCCAGGAACTTACCCGTAATATTGACAGGATCCGAGAGCATCCGCTTCCAACACTCGAACTTCTTGGATATCAACAGCTCCAGCTGTTCCTCTTTTTGTAAAAACACCACGTTCTGCAAAAGAATGAAATACGTTAGTGACGTAATCTATTGGCTGATGACGTGTCATAAGTTCAATGACGTCATATTTATCAGAATAAAGTAACGGATGATGTAATGCACATGGATGATTGTTGGTCAAGTTTAGCAATCTGTTCCAGATGTGGTCCAGTGTGAAACCCGCCATTAATTGAGATTTTATAAAACTTTCATACCTACAATAAAATTACTTATCTTATCTCAGAGCCAACATTTGTGATTTCTAATAAAAATCTAAAGATAGAGCGTAATGTTCCCAGAGTAATATTTCAGCATCTCGTTTGATTATCATCGGAAACATGGAAATGATGTTCTTTTTTACATAACTCCAAAAAAGGCTTTTATCTGAACATTGCTATAGCAGTAAGCGTTTGACGCAATAAACATAACTGATAGCAGTAAGCGTTTGACGCAATAAACAGATATAACGAGTGACGAAATAACAAAATGACTTCGTAGAAAATAGGAAATGGATGGACAAGTATTATATAAACTTATCTCGTATGGCATGTGTATAATATGACTTATCTATTCCATAAATGAAGACTTAAAGTCAATTTTACTACATAAAGAGCAATGGTATTAATGGTATTCACATACATGCACTACATCCTGACTTGATTTTAAATCTGTCGTAAATTCATTCAGTAATAGATTTACACCCAGACAGGGTATTTTACTTAGCACGTAAATGTCAAATTTACTAAAAATAATCATCAGCCAATCGACACACAAAAAGAATCATATTTATCCTATTCAATTAGAATCGCTATAAGAATCGCTTATTCAAGTTACACATTCATATAATATAACCGAGAAAAAAAGAGTTCGCGGTTTGGAGTGTCACCGCTTTATATCATGATTGATACAAAAAACTGTAGAATAACTGGTCTAAAAAAATCTAAAATAACTCCCGCATCTTATTCCTCTGGTTTCGCAAAAAAAAAAAAAAAAAAAAAAAAAATTAAAAAAAAAAAACATGCACGGTAACTTTATATACTTCATCCTTTCCAAAGTACATTCTACAGTTATATATATAAAAAAGAAAATACTTGACGCCTTTTAAAAGGTTTTCGCTACAGGTTCAAATAAACATACTGTACACCCTACCGGAGCAATAAGACGGTAATCCATTGAGTAGCTAAGCATCTTCAGACGCCAAAGACACGAACACTCCGGTGTCGGCCTTCTCGATGTAACAGCAAATTAAGTCTTCTCGAATAAAAAGCGTACTGCTTATGAAATGAGATGACGCTTTAGCCGTAGCACGCAAAAATCGATCTGGGCTTATTTTTTCCCGTAGGTGTGAAGGTCAATACGAATCTGCAGGCTACAAATAGTGTTTGCTTACGGCTTAAATCTCCTAACAGTTTTTGAGCGTTTTGTTCGATTCCAGCGTTTAAGCAATGACTTCAAATTAAAAATCATCAGAATTGTTGATAGGCTTAGCAAACTGTGCAAGCATTTTTTCCATTCACCACCAACAATAAGACAGCTTCGGGTCAAACCGAATGGCCGCATTGCTCTTGTATGGCACACAATGATAGTGTATACTAAACTATTGGTTTTATTACAGTTTACCGTGTTTGGCGGTTAACGGTTGAGTTGTGGCCGCTTTGTTTTCCCGGGCCGATGTCTATTGTCAAATTATAGATGTTACCATTTAGACGTGTTTACTGGGTTTATTAATAGTCGGCATCGATAGCTCTTAACGACTTTCTTAAGTGGAGGCTACCGTGTAAACAGTTGGGAAGGTTTAAGCGTGAGAAACGCTGCCACGGGTTTGAAGAAGGATTTTGGCTTGAAATGCTCTGCTGGAGTTTTCTATATCGTTTGAGTTTGAAAGATTGACAACTTAATAACCTGGTCGTTACCAGGGGCGGATCCAGAGCTATTTTCTAACCGTCTTCCAAATTTTCTTTGTTGATCCATCCTCTATTTTTGACCGTCTTCTGACAGAAAAAATTAGATACCCGTCAATGTAAACTTGAAAATCTGATGTCTTCCAGAAGACCCAGAAGACAGCCTCAATCCGCCCCTGGTTACTTAAAAGAGTAACTAAAACGGCGCATTGAGTTTTGCAAAAAGAAATGAACTCCTGTAACGGTATAACATGCTACAAAATGCAGGACCAGGACAACAGAAAACTGTACAGAAATTTGTAACCCTTGACGTGAACAGGACTGTACACTCTCCAAAATACCGCAAATTTATACATTTTGTACACGCATGTATAGTTCACTTTCAATTTCAATTTCTCTGGTAAACATATTCGGTCCAGTTGCATCTAATTTTTTTGCCAAAAGATACGTAAAATTATTTTATAAATAAGATGGTCGTAAAATCTAAGCACGTGTGTCAGAGATGGTGTTCCTTATTTCTGAGAAAGCTACAAACAATGGTTTAAAAACAAAGACCAAAACAGACACGCAAGAAAACTTTGATCTGAAAATTACACAATTCGCACATCGCTTTTGGGAGTACACAGAGTTCAAGGCATAAAAAAGAGTCAAACATTCCAAACTCTCCACGGCAAGTGCTTCAACTCTCTCCGAACACCGCTTGAAAGTATGCACACAATACACAAAGTTTGCGCCACGGCAGTGAGAGTGCGTTTTAACCTTGGTTAAGTTTGCTTTACCCTGGACGTTATAGACGACCAGAAGTGCGACTGAGCAGTCCGGGACTACTTTACAGCACTAACACCAAGCCATGTTGATATACAACAGTTTACTCCTGGCTGTTTAAATATGGGAATGAGTGTTGCAATTCCTCACCCCCTGCAAGGCAAGGACCTTCTCCGTGTAACCGGAGTGGAAAAGTTTGAATGCTTCTTCTGTTTCAAGATGTGTTTAAGTTTTCTGGCCATAGAAATAAACCCATTCAGTTTAGACTGCATTCATTTCAAGTGTTCCGATAATCTGAAGCAAATTGGTCGCTGTTTAAAAACCTCTAGCCACAGACACACGAAAAGTATAAACTGTCAATAGTTTAACCAATTATTTTGCTCTAAAAAGCAGGCTAATCATTTTTATTGTGCTTCTTTAGGTAACTTTAAGCACGCACATCTTGTCTCGAAACTCAGAAAAATATAATTGACTTATGTTCCTTTGTATCCAATATATAATTTTTTTCTTGGCATTCTGAATCATCTTCATTTTTGGATTTGAAAGATTCCTAAATATGCAATGCGGTACCTTTAACTGCGGATGTCAGTTTCTGTTACAAATAAAATGAGGAGTCTAAGGTATCGACTAAAAACAATTGCAGTGAATTGTCTACCTACAAAACTGATTCATTTGGCCAAATTATTGCCCCCCCCCCCCAAAAAAAAGGTTATATTATTCCTTTTTTATTGT